GCATATCTGGATATCCATATACGGATATCACAAGACCCCATATCCGGATACACATATCCGGATATTTTGCGACAGACAGGAGCTTCTGCATTCGCGAAGATATCCATCCAAGGTACCATTTTTAACACTTTAAAACGTCAAAGCATGCATTTTTATTCTGTTTTAGGTTCATACAACAGTTGGTTACTTGTTTAACTCATTAAACATACCAAGACATCAACTTCAACCCATTAAACTCACGATCAAGGTTGGTGACACTTACCCAAGCTCAAAACAGAGCAAGAAGGTGCTCTTGGAACTCACACTTCCACTCTTACAATCTGACTTGCAAAGGAAACGAAAATGCCAACCAAAGCTTGGCCCTTTCTACACAAAGGAAGCTTCTTGAAGCTTCACAAGCCAAGAACAGACTCCAACCAAGGAAACTTAGAACACAGCCCAAAGAACCCCTTTAAAACAAAAACTCCACTCCACAACAAGGTCACAACTCACTCCCCATGATGATTCTCACTCACATCAAGTGTTTAGAAGAAGAAATCAAGAAGAAAGGTGATAACTTGGCTCACAAGAGATGGAGGAGAGGTGGTGGCAAGGTGGCTGGTTGTAACTCAGAATTTCTCACGTAGCAAGTCATAAAAATGACCTAGGATCATGTGCCATGGCCTTATATAGGCCACTTATGAATTAAACACACAGTATTAACTTTAATTGCTACGCTTAACATTTTAATCCCAAACTCAGGATTCTTAACCTACTCAATTTTACAAGAATTATCATATTTTTATGATATTTTTCGGAGCACCTTTCCAGTACGCGCTTTTCATAGCCAATATCAGTTTCTGGCACCAGTTCTCATTACTTAACTTGAAACTCGTTTTACAAGTCCTATATATTATTCTAGGAATTATCATGCACTTATTATAATTTTCCGGGATACTTTTTCGGTACGCATTTATACCGACTAGCAGAACCGGTATCTGCACTTTTCGTCAGAAAATCGACTTTCAGCATTCTTAATCACTTACTACATTTATTTAAGCCTTGTGATAATTATTAGGGTCAATTATGGAATTATTTCCTAATTTCACATAATTAATTAATTAACTTCCTTAATTAACGGTGCGAGTTCTTACAGTTTCCCTGACCTCCGTCTTTACGATGGTTCTCGTTTTGAGTGCCTTGGCCATGATCAATTGTTGGATTTCTGCATTCTTGCCCTTCTCTTCCAGCTCAGCCTTCTCTTCCAGCTCGGCCTTCGGCGCTCTGATTTCATAGTTCGATTTCTAATGCTTTAATTCTTTGAGCATCTAGTCGCTGTTGAGCCAAGAATCTGTTCTCCATGTCTTGCATCCTTTGAAGGATTGCATTCAGGGCGGTTTTATCTATATGGTTATTAGCTCTTGGTTGTTCACCTGGCAGTGGCTGACGTGCTGACTCCATCGCATTGTTGCTTCGGGTCGTGATAGGCAATGACTCAGTGCTGACCTCGCCGACCTGCACCTCCACTAAAACCGAAATTTCCAAGGTCTTGGACACGACCAATGGCAGAATGATGCGGTGGTTGGGGTTGAGAATTAGTGGATGTCGCACGAGTGTTTGTCATCGTGGAATGGGAATCGAATTTTATCATTCCCCACAGACGACGCCAATGTTCGGTCCTAGAGAACTGTAGAATTATACCGTAGGGGTATGCGCTAAGAGATATCCTATAAACAGATATCTTGGTTGGCTTATAGCTAACATCTCAATCACTGGGCACAAGCAATGAGCTTATAGCCAAGAGGTAAGTATTTGCACAGTGTTGGCAGTAGTAGTAAATGAGTTCAGTGTGTGTACCTGGAGATCTTTAGCCTTTTATTTATAAGGATTACTTTTTGGACTTAGGTTGTGTAGATCTCTCGGTTGATGTAGGATTTAATCTCTTATTTGTAGGGATAAGGATTTTATCTCCTTATCATTACCATCTCATGTTGTTAAGATAATTGTGTCATTATCCATTAAGGAATTCATGGATAGGTAGTTAAGATATGGATATATTCCATAACACAAAGTACCCTAAATGAAGGAAAAAAAGGATAGGGTAACTTGTAGCTTCAGGAATTATCAGGTTCGGGACATGATTACTTCAAGTAGTTATTCGGACGAAAATGCTATTGAGTTAAGAGTTACGAGGGCAATGTGTTTCGTACTCTAGATCTGCTATGTTCTTTTCAGTTTTCTCTGCAATTTTTTTTTTTTTTTTTTGAGAAAAGAAAAAAGAAAAAAATTGTGAAGTTAGACACTTTTTGTGCAATATAATTTAGACGGTTTTATGTTATTTATGTTGTACGAAATAAAAATTATATCGTACACATACATAAAAATGTATGGCCCATATTTTTTCTCTTTCTCTTTTTTATTCACATGGTCTCACATAGACTCTACATATTTTTATGTATATGTAGGAGATAAAATTATCTCATATAACATGATAAATATTAAACTCATATTTTAATGCCGTAATTGACTAATCCTTTAAGTTTCCAACCATTATATTTTATATATAATTTCTAATGTATGAACGTAAACAAAATCTTTTATGTATATAATCATAATAAAATTTCCTATCTTCAAGCTTTAGTTTAAGCTACGCATACATAAACTTATTTGTTAATTAATGAATACCTGTATTTAGATAAGTTTTTTTTTTTATGAATTTAAATTGTTTTTGTTATTAAATTTAATAAAAAATTGATAGTTTTAATTTAATCTTAGCTAATATGGTAAACATTAATATACTAAAATGATTTTTTATTTTGACAAATTAAATTAGTTTTTTTTTTCTTAATGTATAAAAACATATGGTAGGTGGATGATTGATATATGTGCCATGCTGCTTTTCATTAAACTATGTATCAAGGATGAAACATTTTACTATCTATCACATTTTGAAAAGCAATTTATAGTTCCCATTTAATTTGCGGTGTTGGGAGTCACCAGTCTCTTCACTGATTCTTGGTTTGCAAAATATTTTCAATACTACAGTACATTCTTTACTAAATAAGAAATACTGGTTATTTTTTTATGTTCGGTAAGGAAATATTTACTTCAGCTGCACAAAAAATATGCTCTTTTAGCACATTTATTACAGGCCCAAAATATCCCTATAGCCCCTGCTACCAACTGGATCAAAGTTCTCTAAATTGAATCATTAATTCATTTTAGATAATCAAGTCCTATTTTAATAGCGAAGAATTAATGGCTTAATTTTAAATCAAATAAGGGTTTTATACTTCTTGTATTGATGCAAAAAAAAAAAATCTCCTAATACCACTTGTATTTCGGAGAGTACAAATTATAATATTAATTTTTTTTTTCTCTCTCTACGTCAATGGACAACCCTTTGAAAGTAAATTTAGGCTCATCAAATAAACTAAATTTTAATAAACACATAGCAATAAATTTATTTCTTAATATCTTAATTTTTCATAAATAATTATTACTTATGTCTTACCAATAATGTTAGATACTCATTTAAATTTTCATCACTTTGTCATCTAATTATAATTAGGCTCATCTTTCTTTTCTTTTTTGCACATCAACATATTGATTTTGTTATACAAGTAAATATTTTGTACATACATATATATTTCTTGATTATGTTGAATAACTAAATCTGAAAGATGTAAAGTATGAGCGTTGTGTAATTATCACTGTAATAAGAGAGCACACACCCCTTTTAATTTGTCACCCATCTCGTTTAACCCTGACGATAATTCACCAACCTAACCAATTAACCAGAAATTTCCAGCATCAGCTGCTTATTGATCTCATACAGCGTTTCATAAATCTCACCGTTTCGCGGATGTGAAACGTCATCCACAACAAACACGTGTAATCAGAGAGGACGTTTTATTTTACATATTAAGTGTAAAGCTGGAACATAGCATTATTTTTATTTATTTTTTTATTTTTTTATTAAGACACAGCAATATTTTTTTTGGATTACAATGGAATTAAAACACTACACTAGAGACACTTAACACATACCTCACATCACTAGGTTAACCCTAATGGTTCAAACATAGCATTAGCTTACATGTATATAAAAGCGGAGCCACTTTGGAAAATACTACTCTTATGCTTGTTTGGTACATAGTATAGGATAAAGCTTGATAGTATAAGACCTGATAGTATGAAACCTGATTTTATAAGACCTGATTGAATTTTAATACTATCTAGCGTTTGACACGGTATTGTATAAAATAATATATTTTATGAGATAATATCATCTAGTATTTGGTAATACTATCTCATTTTCTCTTACTTCAAAAATCGCACCCTTTCTTTTTTCTTTTTCTTTTTTGCTTTTTAATGGTGGACCCCATTTGGATTCTCTCTATAACATGAGAGAATTACTTTCATGTAACATGAGACTAATATTCCCTTTTTTCAAATAATATAAATTTTCTTTAAAATTTTTGATACAACCTTGATATTAATTAGTTACATTTTTAAAATAATATGACCATGGTACTATTTAATTTTATCTGAACGGATATTTTGGCACTACTTAGACTTTTTTTTCTCCGGGTCGCCACTGTTACAAAAGTACAAGTTTTTACAACAGGAGTGTATGTTGTATCGTTTCAGGATAATTTTGAAAGGAGAAAGAACATATGATTAACTTCAACTGAGAATCCTTGTCATATAATTCACCATCCTAGATTGTACTCGAATCTAATAGTAATAAAACCAAATCTAGCAAAATGCTTAGAAAAGGATTAAAGTTATATATATATATATATATATATATCCATTGGCTGAAGAAAAAGAAAATAAACACCACGAATATTAGTCATATATAGCATATATCAAAACTAACTAGAATCTTAAAACGTTGTGTTCAAAGTAAAATGAGGATCAGGCAAAAGATATTTAGTGACTTGTTGATATGCTTCATGGTAATTTTATTCACCACTTTTGTCAGTACTTCTTGCATGGCTATTGAGAGAAGAAGACTACGGTTCCATCGAACTCATGACCATGAGCTTCCTCTTCTTATAGTTGGCCTTAAAACAAGCTTGTCTAAGCCTTTTCGTATTATCATCAAGTTGCAAATCTGGCATTTCCTCCACCATCTTCTTTTCATTCTCCAATATCTCAATGGCATTCCTTATTTTTTCATCACTTCCATTTCCCTCTTGATCTCCTTGTTCCTTCATGACCCACCCAATTGGGAAAAGAAAAAAAAAAATACAAAGTTTCAAGTTTAATTATAATCAACATATATAAATCATCTTGTAAATTATATGGGCAATTTACACAATGATAACGTACTTGTACATTCTTTATTAGTGTTTGAAGGCTCATTAGCTTCCTATGGGGCCACCTCTGAATTCCTAACTCCCTGCACATTTTCTTCAAATGTGTCAAACCAACATTGAGCTCTCTGGCTGCTTGTGATATTGGCATGTAGAAATACTGAGAAAGAGTCTTTCTTGATAACATTCTGGCACTGCTACTTTTCTCTTCTCTGCATCGCTTACCCTTTAAATCTTCCTTCATTTCCTTAACGCTTTCTCCATTGTTACATAATGAATGCACAGGTTTATCTGAACCAAATCCAGCATCCACTTCATTCCACACAGAAAGTATTTCTTTAACATCACCAAAATCATAGTCTGTAATAGAAATTTAAAAGATAGCCCGTATCAAAATAAGGACAACCAAAATGAATAATAACATGAAGAATTGGTAAAATCATATATATTAATAACCTTGTTGTACACTTATTGGTATTGGTTCAGTGGGAAGAGTTTCATATAAAATGTCAGGATAATAACAATCCATAAAAGTGATAGTATCAGGATTGCTATTTTGCATTGAAAATCCATATGGCCAACCCAATGCAAGATATTCATCATTAGAATTATCCCTGGAGAAAAGATATTATAATAAGAAATTATGTTTGATAATAGAAAATGTAAAGGGAAAGAGCAGTAGAAGTTTTATTTACCTGATACGATCATATGAAGAAAATTGGCACAAAGGTGCAAATGAATTTTCATCCATTTCATAGTTAGACCTCAAACCCGTGAATTGCTGACTCTCCATATCGAAGTTGATAGCTCATAGTGTGGAATCAGCAAAGAAATTGACAATATATATTCCAAATAAGAAAATTTTATGATGATGATCATGAGTCAATTTAACTAGTGAGGTAATTAAGGTCATTAACTTTTGGAGAATGTACGAGCCGCATGTTTTATGGTTTAACGTGTGCACTACTGTGAGTTACAAGATGAATTTAATTACCAGGAATCCGGGATACCCTATTCATTTAAGGGTATGCATCATTGGAGTTTAATTCTATGATAATATATAGATAAGTACATTTGTTTTCTATCTATATTTTCTATAAAAAAGATTGATATTCTATTGGTATATTTTTATTTTTATTTTGGTCCTTGACTGGAATATCCTTTTTGAGACTAAAATATTTTATATTTTTTTTTTTGATAACAAAATATTTTATATTATCACTTAATGATCTATTACCATATTATAAAAATGTGTGACTTTTGAAATATTTATTGCAAAATTCAATTTTTTTTAATGATCTGTGTAAAATTCAGTAAAAATACGAAAAAAATATTATATTCACAGTAGATTAAAATTAAATTTTTCTTCCAATTTTCATAAACAAAAATTTAAGAAATTAAAATAAAATTATAACTAAGTATATTGTATAATGATGGGTAATATTTTGTAAAATAAAACAAAGTTGACAATATATTGTATAAAATAAAGGGATAAGATAGTCTATCTATCTTTTTTTTTCTTACCTACCTTACATACTCATATTCAATACCATAAGATTAGAATCTCACTATTTGTCTCTCCTCTTGAGATTCTGATCTCATGATATTAAAGATAATTAAATAGTTAAGGTAGAAAAAAAATAGGTAAAATAATCCATTCTTAAAATAAAATAAATAATTTTAAAGATGTATTAAATTTTTATTTATTTCATTCATATAATTTTCAGTAACAATGACTGTTCCTTAATTACCCTCGTTTTCATTTATTTCTGATAGAGATTTTGACAATAAATTAGTGGCAAGTAGATGGTGGCTACTCTAGTGAGTAATGAAGAATGAGGTTCTTTAACCTATCTCTAGCCAAATAGTAATACTAAATCCAAAAAACGCTCCTATCAATTATCAATTATAGTCCGTTTCATCCAATCCCTTTGGGAATGACTGACATATATGCTCTAGCTAGCTACAATATTAAGCATGAAACAAATGATAATGTACCAAACCATAGTCATTAGCCTTTCCCAAAACTTCTTAATTAGACTACAATTAATAATTACTGTAGCCGAAAAGTAGATAGAAGGAGGCTAATCGTTCCTCTCTTTTTTCAATTGTTATAATAATGTTAATTTTCAGCGTTTAATCATCAAATTTTTCAACGGAAGGCCAATGAAATGGACTTAATATTTCTATTTCCGTGTAGATATGAAATGTAACGGATTCATCAAATTCTCTAATCACGGTTCTCTTTCAGTTTTGAAGAGTGGTGTAAACTCAGAAGTTCAAAATTTACTGTCTTACAAACAATTAATTGAATAATTATATCTCTTTAATACGAATGATCAGTACTGTTAATCATACTCGAAAACACATATACATGCAAGACATTTACCAAGCGGTACATGAGGAAGGAGTTCAAATGACAATTCCGGAAAGTATGCTACTATATATATATATATATATATATATATATATATATATCAAATCATTTCTGCAGCCGCTTTACGTATAGTAACGTGTTAAGGGACGCACACCCTTTACAAATGAAACCAGAGAAACCCTTAGAACTGTATTGAATATTTGCATGAATGACACATACCCACTGTGGGGGATATTAAACCACCGAATCAGTTAGCCTATGTGGCATAACAACCTTGCTCAATATGAGCACTATTACACGTATACAATTTGTATTAACTAACCGTATTACACGTATGTATTCCACTAACTCTATTGTACATGATCTAAGGCCCACGATGGGTATCCCCTAATCCTTCTACTCTTCTGTCTATCTTCTATATTTGTAACATCTGCTCCCCCTTTAGGAGGCACCTTGTCCTCAAGGTGTAAAGCTGGATAAGCTTGCCGAAGGTCTGATGCATTCTCCCTAGTGGCATCCTCAGGGACAGCTGCAGACCATTGAACCAGAAATTGGAGCACTTGCTTGTCACTCTGTTGAACATTTTGAGAAGAGAGCAATGCCACAGGTTCTTGAAGAGGTTTGTTGTGGAAGCTGGTAAGTGGCAGGGGCTCATGACTAGGAGCTTGTGAACCATGAAATGGTTTCAACGAAGAAATGTGAAAGGTAGGATGAATCAAGCTGCCAGGGGGCAATGTGACTCGATAAGCTACTGGACTTATCACCTTTTCAATGCAATAAGGACCAAAATAGCGTTTGGCCAGCTTGTGATTGGAACGTCTGACAACCGACACCTGCCTATAAGGTTGCAACTTGATCAGAACTTGGTCACCAACTTGAAAGACTCGATCAATTCTGTGTCTATCAGCTTGTAATTTCATCCGGTGTTGAGCTCGTTGCAAGTGGAGCTTGAGGTAAGCTAACAACTGATCTCGATGTTGTAACATCATGTCAACTGCTTCTGTGGAAACTGAAGAAGTACTGTATGCTGGAATGAGAACTGGGATCTTGCCATAAAGTGCTTGGAAGGGAGACATATTAATGGCAGAGTGAATGGCCGTATTATAATGAAGCTGGGCCCAACATAAGTATCGGAACTAGTCAGTATTCTGCTCAGAACAATAAGCACGCAAATATTGTTCAAGGTACCTATTGGTAACCTCAGATTGCCCATCGGATTGGGGATGATAAGTTGAGGAAGCATTCAATTTCGTACCACTTAATTGAAACAGTTGCTTCCAGAACTTGCTCATAAAAATTGGATCACGGTCTGAAACCAAAGACTTTGGAAAACCATGATGTTTCACTACCATGTCACAAAACAGATTGGCTACCATGACAGCAGTATAGGATGTAGGTAAAGGACCAAAGTGGCCATATTTGGATAGTCTATCAACAACTACCAATATAGTGATATAACCATTTCATTTAGGAAGTGCAGTAGTAAAATCAAAGGTCAAGTCATCAAAAATAGCTTGAGGAATTGGCAAAGGCTGCAATGAACCCAAGGGTACCTGAGTGGAATGCTTGATGTGTTGGCAAACAATGCATTCATTGACATATTTTTTTACATCCTGCCTCGTATTCTTCCACATGAAAGATGTGGATAAGCGTAAAAAAGTTCTTTGGACTCCAGCATGCCAGCTATGGGTGTGGCATGAGCTTCTGTCAGCAATAAAAGTTTCAAAGCTGAATTAGAGCCCAAGAAGCATCGATTCCGATGGAACAACATACCATCCTTTATGGTAAAATCACTATGTAACACTGTGCCATCATCCATCTGCTTATGAATAGTCAATAACTCAGGATCTGCCTTATTCTTCTCCTTCACTTGCAACCACACATCCAACGATGGTGCAGACTGTAAGGCATGACAAACAGCTTGTTCTTCATCTGGAAATTTCCTAGAAAGACCATCAGCTACAATATTGGAAAGTCCAGATTTGTATTCGATGGTGAAATTGTATCCCATCAATTTGGAAATATACCTCTGTTGGTCAACTGTTTGAATGGTTTGCTTCAAAAGTTCTCTCAAACTTTGATGATCAGTCTTGATCACAAAATGAGAACCCAACAAGTAGTGCCTCTAGCGTTTAATAGCCTCAGTAATGGCATATAATTCCCTAACATAAGCCGAGGAAACAGTCAATCTAGGACCAAACTTCTTACTAAAGTAAGACACAAGTTTCCCTTTTTGCAGTAACACAGCACCAGCTCCTAATTGAGATGCATCAAATTCCACTGTAAATGAAGAAGAAAAATCTGGTAATTGAAGCACAGGTGTGGTAGACATAGCCTGCTTTAATGCAACAAATGCAACTGTAGCCTGGTCATTCCAAGAAAACTTGGGTTGTTTAAGTAGGTCAGTCAAGGGGTGGGCCAAGGAAGCATATCCTTTAACAAATCGTCTATAATAGCTTGTTAATCCAAGGAAAGCTCTTAATTGCTTAATAGATTATGGTGTGGGCCAATCAATCATAGCAGCTATCTTCTTTTTATCAGCTTTGACCCCTTCCACAGTAACAACATGACCAAGGTAAGAGATTTCAGAAACCCCAAACTCACACTTACTGAGTTTCACAAAAAATGCATTCTGTAACAAACAAGTCAATGCAGTATCCAGGTGAGGAACATGATCCTCCATAGAAGCACTATATATCAGCACATCATCGAAAAAAACAACTATAAATTTCCTTAGAAATGGCTTAAAAATTATGTTCATGGCTGCTTGAAATGCAGCCGGTGCATTGGTCAAACCGAATGGCATCACTTTGAATTCATAGTGACCCTCATGAGTACGAAAGGTTGTTTTAGGAATATCCTCAACCTTCATCCTAATTTGATGATAGCCCGAATGCAAATCCAATTTGCTAAACACCTTAGCCTCAAAGAGCTCATCAAGTAATTCATCAATTGTTGGTATGGGAAAAGCATCCTTAACTGTCATGGCATTTAAGGCACGATAGTCTATGCACATGCGCCAAGTAAGATCATGCTTCTTTACTAGCAAAACAGGTGAAGAAAAAGCACTATGGCTTTGTTGAATCTAACCAGATGCTAGCAAGTCAGTGATCTGTTTCTCAATTTATGTTTTGTGATGATGTGGATATCTGTAAGGTTTTACCTTCACAGATTTGGATTCATCCAGCAACTTAATTGCATGATCCATGCCACGGAAAGGAGGTAGTGACTTGGGTAGTTCAAAAACCATCTGACACTTGACCAAAATATCCCACAGCTTACCCCACACAACATCTTTTAACAATAAAAGATCAGCATTTACCTCAGGATGAGTCTGGTCTGAGTGAAATGCAGTTAATGCAGAACAAGCAGCTTCCTTTGGAAATGTATCAGCAATATTCTGACCAGGTGGAATA